GTTAGCACCTTCGGCCAAGATCAGTCTCTAACGCCCTCTAAGGTCTGATACTCAGGTTGAATATATTGTACGGGATTCATGGGTTACAACGCACGAATAAAAGCCTTGTAGTAAAACATCAAAATATTTTGAATACTACTGAGTTCCCCCTGCTTTTTACTCTGCAATTTTAGTTGGCCTAGAGATTTTTGTTTTCCCAATACAATCGCGTGCCTTTTATAGCAGCCGTCGAATGGCTGCAATGATTAGAACATCTCAAATCACACTTTATTCATACTTAAAATTGAACTAAAACAAAATCCGGAAAAAAGTTGGATGTTTGCTGGACTCGTGCAATTAACTGCAAAAACGCGGCCATGTATTGAATATTGTTTGTCTGCAGATTTCATGTAAAATCAGTTTTTTCATTAGTGATCGGGTATGTGCCTCGTGCATAAAAACCACCTCTTTGTAGTGCTTATGTCATGTTTTACTTCAATTATAGACCATTATATCTCGTCTCTCTACAATAAACYGTCYGATATTCAAAAGTCRTCTCATTTCTAATTAGCCTGGAAGTGCCAAATTATCTACGTGAAAGAGAAACCACATTGTCACTWTAAGGCAACTAAGTTGGTTTTTCAACAAAAATCAGTGTTAAATCAGTCAGCATGCACCAAAGTACATGACTGTAGTAAAATTCTACAATATAAGAACAGGAACAAAATAAAGAAATTAATGTTTTTTGATTATTTTGAAGAAGGCTCGCAAAATAGGCTCRCGGCTCGCATTTAGAGGCTCGGGCTCGCAAAATAGCAACCCCCCTTTATAAATAATGCCAAGATTTTTTGAAATTTTAATTTTTATGTGTTGGATTTGGGTTTCCCATTTAAGGTGATTGTCAATGTAGATACCAAGATATTTTATAGTATTTTTTTTGTTCAATATTGCATGCTGTGATAGTTATATCAACTTTTTTCCTGGGTGATGCAATTATCATAAAATTAGTTTTTTTTGAAGTTGATAGATAATTTGTTTGCATTGCAGTAGTTTATTACATTTGAAAGTTCAGTATTTTTTTTCAGTATTTTTTCTTAAAATGTATAGTTCTATCTTTAGAAGAACAGAAAATGTTGATGTTGTCTGMAAACATGCTAAATTTCAGTTTACATGATGTGTTAGGGAGGTCATTGATATAAAGAAGAAATAGGAGGGGTCACAGGTAATTTTTTGAGGTTCAGATTCAGCATTGTTTAGCTTTACAAATTTCTTTCTTCCAGTAAGATAGCTAGGGAACCATTTATGAGAGATGCCCCTAATACCATATTTTGTGTAATTTATCCAGTAGTATTTTGTGATTTAAAGTGTCAAAAGCTTTAGAGAAATCAAGGAAAATGCCACAGGTAACCATATTCTGGTAGAGAGCTGATTTTTTTGTTTTCAACTGATTCGAGAATTGCATGCTCTTTAGAGTGACCTTTTCTAAACCCAAACTGGAATTCAGTTAGTATACTNCAGGGATATTTAATCACTAAAATCCCTCAGAGCCACAGTATGGTATTACTTATAAAATGGTTTTCTTGATTATGGTTAAGATTTGATGGAAGAGCTAATCTGGACATAATTCCAACAGCATCAGTAGATGGAGCAGTAGGGTGAGTGTTCCATCAATGAAATATTATTAATTTTATGATATGGCATAAAAATTTAAATGTTATTGTGAATTAAATTGTAGCGTAAGTATAGTTTACAACATGAGTGGCCGTGTTGTATGGGTCGTGTGTGCTCTTCAACATTTCAGGGATAAGTATTTACAAAGCATGCAGGGTCAAAACGTTAAAAAGGATCAAAAAGTTCATAATTTTATTGATTTTGCTTTCAGGCCACTCATGGAAACTGACCCAGAACAAAACCGCTTGAACTATGAAAGATATAGGACTTTGGTGATGATTGATCACACTGAAGGTATGTTCCAAACTTTTTGATTTACATTTCTCAGTACCTATATTTCAAATGATAAGATATGGATGCCACTGACAATCAGAAAAACAATCAAAGTATTTCTAACACGTCTGATATCTTCTGATATATATCGCATAAGGAATTAGCAGTTGTAACAATTTTTAACCTTTATTTCTTGTTAAAAATATCACATTTTTAATTTTTCTGAGGATAAATTTTACCAAAAGTTGTTTTTTATTCTTTTTTTAGAACTTCTTGTGTATAAGTTGTTTGTCTAAAAAGATTGCTGAAGCCTCATCAACATAAAACAGAGCAACTCCCTGTTTATGACTTAAGTTTAACATTTTATAAGATACAGTATATATTACTTTCTACCATAAATTTATTGTGGTGAATTCTTCRGTGATTTAGGACGACAAACAGAGAACTACACCAAWCAACTCCATTCTTTATTTCCYGTTAACCATGTGCCTGCTCGCGCATGCGTACATGTAATTAGACAGGGAGCCCAAATYGTGGCTATCCACGACATTTATTATGTCAAAATTGTATTTTATTTATTTAATAGTATCAGAAGAAGATTATCTGCAACAACTYGCAGCAGAGGAAATGCTTCCTAGAAAAGATTCTATACACGGCAAGGAGAAAAAAGAGAAGTATGAACTTAAATATATAAATCAGAAAAAAGTATTTATTTTTCACTATAATATGCCCCATGTAAGAGAATCCAGAGAGCTAGAGGATTTCCAGATTCGAAGGGCTGGATTCCCGCTTCCAAAACATCAGATTCCGGATTCCAAGCCTTGAAATTCAGAACATGTGTTTTTTGGATCTCAAAATTTCTTCTGTATTCCGGATTCCAGGATATGGAATTCAGATTCCAAAGCTGTTTTTTTTACTAGATTGCTGATTCTGGATTCTCTTACATGGGGTGATATAATTATCTGCAAAGCAGTAAGTAGCAGTTCAAAACTAATGCTCAGCATGGTGCTTTTGCAGGAGTGCAGCCAAAGCCTCAATTGGTTATAGTTATGATGATAGTTCAGTATCAGTTGCTGCTACAGGTGGTGATGATAGTAATGAAAGTGAAGAAAGTGATGCTGAGAGTATACCTAGTGATATAGGTAACTAACCATATAATATTTTCATTTATAGTTCYCTCTGCCTTTTCTAAGGTTGACCCTGGGGTTCTTTTTCAGCTTTCATATTTACATTATAGTTCCATGCTAACATACCATCAAAATAGCTTATAAAAAATAGCTAAACTTTTCTAATAGCATGACTGTAAACCATGCTTCTGAACTTAAGTTGGCATTATAGCTTTACATGTATTAAGTGAATTCTTAAAGAAGTTTTGTTCTGTTTAACAAATAAGCTGTCTCCTTTTCATTCTTACATCTGTAATCAAAATGATCAAAACATTTTGTTTGAATTGAATTTTTATGTAATTTTTAGTATAAAATAGGGTATGAGCAGGAGTCCTCTATGGACATTCAAAGCTGCCAGCTGCAAGGGAGCAATTTTAAAGCCCATAAAGTTTGGACGCGAATATTTTATATTGCTTAYCAAATTCCAACATAAGGCTAAGCACATTTTGCTAAAAACTTCAAGATAAAAATATTATTTTTAAGACAAAATTGAAGTTAAAGTTGTAATTTATGCAAATCAGGACAAATCAAATAAAGGATAATTAATCAAATATTAAAGGTTCTAGCATGTTATTAAAAGGCTAATCCAGTTGACATAATAGCCAGTCAAATACATATTGTATTTATTTAAGTTTGTTTTTAAAATCATGATATCTTCCAAAATATTTTAGTTATGTCTAGTTATACTTTTTACTTTGTCAGATGGGTTTACTGRTTCAACTCTTCTTGAATGACTTTCTCTCTTTTCTTCATGTGGACAAGTAGTCATACAATGTAAACTGCATGACCAACACATGTTCCACATTTCCAATTTTATTTTCAGTAAAATAAGCCATTTTCCCATTATTGTCTTWGATTTGACACTTTGAGAATGAGTATTAGGACTATATTATACCCACCAACGCTAATGCATASGAAATTCCATGATGATTCTGTGTTGGTATAAAATTGGGTTTTGTTTAATAACCTATCGGAAGGAGTCCGGAATTATTATTATTTTTTGTGTRTTTCTTTGTTTTTTTCCAGATGTCACAGTTGATGTTGATGAACTCACCAAGCAGGAAGTATGTAGTGTCCTTTACATTATTAAAGTATACATCAAACAAGGACAATCAGGAAATCAGGAATCTACCATGATACATGGGTCTAGTTGCGCAGCTAATGATGATATGCCAATGTTTCTTTAGATGCAAGAAATAGACAATGTTGCTATGAGTTATGGGATGGCACCAGCACAGTTTTGCAGGTGAATTTTTTCCCAAACCCACCATTTGATTTGATTATCTTAATTATTATTYATCAATTATTCAACGAGTAGCGTCATATGATTTACAATGGTTTACTGAGACGTGAAATGTCAAAAGTCAAAATGACATTATTTCTGTGGCAAATTGACGCATATTTTACRTCGCTCTTTAACAAGGATGACTCTTAGATGTGAATCTGGAATGAGAATTGTAAGTTAATTGTAAGTTGCCACATTAATTCATTGGGGTCATTTATTCTGTGCCCAAATGAATAGTCAGCAGAGGTGTTTGGGTTGTGATTGGCTAGATTTATCAGCAGTGGGCATGTACTTCTAGTTACAGACCTCTGATCTCTGCAGTAATTCGGTARATGCCTACCAGTYGGGCATTCCCATTCCAGGGTTTGGTACCCAAACGATGTATCATAACCATTACCTTGACTTTGCTGCGTAATATGTGAATCCTTTTTTGAGAACAATATTGTTAGCAGTTTACGAATTAAAATGTGTACTTTGACATCAGGAAGTTGAAAGTTGATAAAATAGAAGCAGAAGAACAAAAGAAAATCAAGGGAGAGGAAGAGGAAARAGCGATGATGGGGGTAAGTATTTCTGATATTTTAAAATTAACTGATATTTTCTGTTCATTCAAAAGAACCCGTAATAAGACTGTTGCATATTTGTTKGTTGCTTGCTAGGGTCGTAGGTCTCGTAAAGACAGAAGATCCGCGCGTGAACGCCAGAGACGTCACCGTGTCAAGGATTCACCTCCAAGGTATTCAAAAAAATTTCAACGAGTAAACAACAAGTGAGACAAAACTGGAACCCAGAGCCCGAACGTTTGGCTAATGTGCATAATCTCCTGAAGGAAAGCATCGCAAATTCAGTAGATTATTGGGCAAATGTGAAAAAAAGAACATAAAGAACAACTTTTCTAGAAATTATTTGGACATTATTTTCGATCAACAGCCATGGTCTGTCATGACTCCATGGTCTGTCATGAATTGAACATAGTCCAGTACCCAATCGGAATRCTGGATTTGTGCCCATATTTTGATTGGTAGCATGATATGTGTTATTTCAGGAAAAGTGTAGAAATGCTTCTAATTTATGCTTATTTGTATTTTCTATTTATTCGTTAGAACTATTTAGTAGTAAACAGTTCRAATTGTTGGTATTAATATTTAGCTGTCTTGTTATTTATCGTCTTATTCATTCCGCAGCTACGCTAGACGGTCAAGTCCAACGTACGAACCATACAGGCAAGTCAAGTTTGTCTTAAATACACAGATAGATATACTCGGACCTGCCATTTTACCCTCTCTCTTACTCATTTTAATGCTCCCTCAGTCCTGTCATGTCTATGCATTAGAAATTGATAATAACGGAGTTCTCCACATGAATGTCATATCGAATTTGCCATTTTTGTAGGCACAGTTGTTCTTTCTCCACGTGGTGTCCTTATATTTTAAAATGCAATAAGGACTAATATAACTCTAAAATTCCCCTTATAGATCAGGATCAAGTTCCAGTTCTTCTTCACGCTCCTGTTCTCCTGAAAATACAACCCAAGTAGAGTTTATCACTGAATTTGGAGATGATGGGACCAAGGCAGGCGTGTCCACTTTGTCCCGGTCGGTCTATTTCACTTCATATCTTCTTATCAGTTGAAGCCTTTGTGATCATCCTGTGGGTTTCCCTCGGGGTAATAATGATCTTAGTTCTTTTCAAAGTAACCTTTTCAAAAGGGTTTTCAAAACCAAATTAATGTGCAGCAAMCTTGCGAGAAAAATAACTTAGGCGAAACACCTTTTAAAAAGCACTCGCAAAATTTTCTTTATTTCTTTTTCTAATGTGGCTTTAWTTTTTGAGTAAAAGGGGTAAAACATAAACACAAGACTGTCTCCATTGTACGTCATTTCCATTAATTTTGAAATCAACCAGTTCAAAGTGTAAAGGATTATCTTTCATACTATATGTGTTTTTATTTGTTTAGAAAACAGTTGTTCGCATGCTAATTTTCGTTTACTCTTGTTTTTTTTTCTGTGACTGGTATGCTGCTCATCCACACTTGACATCATTTGTACTTTATTGATGACTCTTCTACGTTTAAATGTGTATCACGTATGTATGCCATTTTATTATTCTGATGCTGTTTATCGTGATAATGTATGTGCCAATGTTGTATTTCAATTTGTGGGAATGTGGGGTTTCAAAAAATCCAACAGGTCTAAAAAGCAAGGACGGGAAAACAAAGTTGTAGATCGACGTGATCGAACTAGACGTCGACGAAGCAGATCACGTGATCGATCGCGAAGTAGATCACGTGACAGAAGACGTGAGCGGAGTTCTTCGCGTGATTGGCACCGCTCACGTGGCCGTAGTAGAAGTTCATCACGTGATCGACGCAGACATAGAAGCCGCAGCAGGAGTAGCTCCCCCGAACATGATCGACATCACGAAGGTCGTTATTGCGATAG